TATCGATCAGTCCACAACTAAAATAACTAAAAACGATCTGCACTGAGTGACTCACCCTTCATGTGACACATATACAACGATACTCTGCAAATAAATTATAAACAAAGATAGATACAAATATGTAGGATAATGAGTTCGTTGCCACTAACTCGATATTATAGTACACATTCAATTATCAACGCTAAATATGGCGTACGTGTGGATAAACATGTTTATATACTAACATTGGGATGAATGATCTCAGCACTATCTGACAGTGGTTCTCACTAATATATATAAATTTTGCAATTTTTCATTGTTACAAAATATTTTTAATTATCTTCAAGCACTATATTGGTTTGCAAGGTTAAATTACACACATGTAATGTAAATCACATTGTGTTTAAATTAATTGGAGCTCAACTGATTTGTATATTTTTGAGAGTGTTTCATTGTAGATAATTCGTCATCTACACGTTGGTTATTCATTATGTATTTAGTATCTGTTCATCATATATTCAGTACATACTCATTACCTATTAAGCACCTGTTCATCACCTGTTCATCATCTACTCATGATCTGTTCATCATCTATTCAGCATCTCTCAATTATCTTTCCAGCATCTATTCATCCTCTATTAATATACAGTACTTTCCATATTCTTCATCTATGATGTTAACTCTGAGTATCAAAATAAATGTTCATGTTAATTTAGATATATATTTGTACATCCTTAAAATTAAATTCATCATTTCCATTTTTCCTTGGCACAAAGTGTGTTCAACTTTCTTCAAATACACCATTTATCCTCAATATTACACTAAATCACAATGTAATGTTTAATTAAATTTCACTACCTAATTCAGATTTTTATTTGCGTTCTTCTGAAGTATTAAAAATAATACACTACATTTTATAATTTTTAATGCAATTGCTAGACTCGCCTTTTTCTGACTACGCGCACGATGTCAAAGAATTAACGTCGTAATAAGTAAATGCGTGTACTTCAAACTCAATTCTTGTGCGACAGTTGACGGATGATTCAATAACAGAAGCTACGGGCATAGTTTAACGTGTACATTGTACATCACGCAAGGGAAAAAATTGCTTCAGGAACAGGCGGTGATCAAGCTTTCTATCAAACCCTTCCCGTACAAAGTCACGATACGTCACTGTCCAGATAAATATTTTCTTTTTGTGTACCTGCGAGGAACGGTGGTTTCCTTTCATTAACTTGATCGTTTATGTCAATGAGATTGGTTGATTACGACGTGCATTTACCGGGTGGCCTTATTGTAACGTTGCACGTATATTTTTTATATCAAAGAAGGAAATCAAAGGAGATCAAAGTTAGGTGATCAGATGTTTGACTTCAGATATTTGGACATTATTGGAAGCTTAATTTGTTTCGGAACATTTAAGTGAGTGGATTTGGAGATTTTGAAATTCTGAATTTGGGAGTTTGGAAATAGTGAAATCTCAAATTTAGGAATTTTGGAAATGTAGCCAAGCATATAGCCGTCGCCAATGACCACGTAGTCGACGTGACGTTAAACACTTATGAAGAAGAAAAAGAAGAAGAATTTGGGAATGTAAGAAGTTCGGAACGTGGGAATTTGGGGACGTAGGAAGTTGGGGCGTGGAAATTTGGGGATGAAGGCATTTGGGAACGTAGGAATTGGGGAACGTCAGAATTTTAAAACGTAGGAATTTGGGGTTGCAAGAAGTTGGAGACGTAGGAATTTTGAATCGTAGGAATTGGGGGATGTCGGAATTTGGGAATGTAGAAATTTGGGGACGTAGGAATTTGGAAATGTAGAAATTTGGGGACGTAGGAATTTGGAAGCGTAGGAATTGGGGGTCGTGGGAATTTGGGGACGTAGGAAGTTGGGGGCGTAGGAATTTGGGGACGTAGGAAGTTGGGGACGTAGGAATTTGGAGACGTAGGGATTTGGGGATGTCGGAAGTTGGAAGCGTAGGAATTTGGAAATGTAGAAATTTGAGGACGTAGGAATTTGGAAGCGTAGGAATTGAGGGTCGTAGGAATTTGGGAACGTAGGAATTTGGAGACGTAGGGATTTGGGGGATGTTGAAAGTTGGAAGCATAGGAGTTTGAGAATGTAGAAATTTGGGATCATAGAAATTTGGGAATGTAGAAATTTGGGGACGTCGGAATTTAGAGATGTAGAAATTTGAAGATGTAGAAATTTGGGGACATAGAAATTTGGAGGCGAAGGAATTAGTATGCGTAGAAATTTGCACACACAGAAATCTAGAAATCTTAGCAACTAATAATTCAGTAGTCTAAAAATCCAGAAACCTATAAACCTAGAAATCTACAAATTCCATTGCAGTAAATGAAATAAAATATCCTCACGTAACAACAACGTCCACACACCGTTCGAACATGTTCATTAAATCAAGCACGTCATAAACGAATGCAAAAATAAAACGACCTAATTACGAGTTCCTGCGATCATTTTCCACCGTTATACAATCTTCCGCAACTCCAATACTCGCAACGATGATTGCACAATAATTACAGCGTCCGTTACTATGTCATCGATAAAAGCGAATTCACGAAGACCTCGGATAATCAATACACATTATCAATATTTCAGGGTACTCAATAGTTATCGACAATGCTGAAATATCGTCGACACTATCAATATTTATCGACAAATTACATTTACTTGAAAATTTCAGTTATTAACGAGAATTATTGAGTTATTGACAAACCTTCGCATAAACGATGCTTCATGTAAAAGCAACTTTTAATATTTTCATTTTCGACAATGTACTGCGTCGACACTTTAATGTTGTTAATACATCTTTCATAAATCACTCAATTATGGAAGCTTCGCGTCAGTTTACACAATAATATATTAATTAAAATGTGCTGCAATGTTGTATGAAATCAATATTCAAGCAAATTACGTTGTGAAATTTCTTTGTAATAAATATTTCCAACATTTCATATCATTTTGTGTCTTATTCGTTAATTACATTTAATTTCAATATCATTCAAACTTTACATTATATGGACTTCAGATGTGGACTTTGGGTATATATGTATGTATACACAAATATGAACTACACATAACGTTAGCTTCAATAAAGTCTATAAACTTAGACTAGAATTTAGTCCACATAAACTTTGAGTCTGGGTTACTATACTAAAATATAGTCTACATAAACTTCAAGTTTAAAGTGGACTCATGCTAGAATACATTTTGCATAAACTCCAAGTCTATTCACTTTAAATGTCCAGGTCTACAAGACAATTTTACCAGTCACAAATTTCCAATAAGATCATATTCTTATTCTAACAGAATTGACTAATAATAAGTAGTCATCGGACAAGTACACACAGAGTCTAGGTTAATCTATACTAAAATATAGTCAACATAAACTTGAAGTCTAAAGTAGATTTGCACACACAGAAATCTAGAAATCTTAGCAACTAATAATTCAGTAGTCTAAAAATCCAGAAACCTATAAACCTAGAAATCTACAAATTCCATTGCAGTAAATGAAATAAAATATCCTCACGTAACAACAACGTCCACACACCGTTCGAACATGTTCATTAAATCAAGCACGTCATAAACGAATGCAAAAATAAAACGACCTAATTACGAGTTCCTGCGATCATTTTCCACCGTTATACAATCTTCCGCAACTCCAATACTCGCAACGATGATTGCACAATAATTACAGCGTCCGTTACTATGTCATCGATAAAAGCGAATTCACGAAGACCTCGGATAATCAATACACATTATCAATATTTCAGGGTACTCAATAGTTATCGACAATGCTGAAATATCGTCGACACTATCAATATTTATCGACAAATTACATTTACTTGAAAATTTCAGTTATTAACGAGAATTATTGAGTTATTGACAAACCTTCGCATAAACGATGCTTCATGTAAAAGCAACTTTTAATATTTTCATTTTCGACAATGTACTGCGTCGACACTTTAATGTTGTTAATACATCTTTCATAAATCACTCAATTATGGAAGCTTCGCGTCAGTTTACACAATAATATATTAATTAAAATGTGCTGCAATGTTGTATGAAATCAATATTCAAGCAAATTACGTTGTGAAATTTCTTTGTAATAAATATTTCCAACATTTCATATCATTTTGTGTCTTATTCGTTAATTACATTTAATTTCAATATCATTCAAACTTTACATTATATGGACTTCAGATGTGGACTTTGGGTATATATGTATGTATACACAAATATGAACTACACATAACGTTAGCTTCAATAAAGTCTATAAACTTAGACTAGAATTTAGTCCACATAAACTTTGAGTCTGGGTTACTATACTAAAATATAGTCTACATAAACTTCAAGTTTAAAGTGGACTCATGCTAGAATACATTTTGCATAAACTCCAAGTCTATTCACTTTAAATGTCCAGGTCTACAAGACAATTTTACCAGTCACAAATTTCCAATAAGATCATATTCTTATTCTAACAGAATTGACTAATAATAAGTAGTCATCGGACAAGTACACACAGAGTCTAGGTTAATCTATACTAAAATATAGTCAACATAAACTTGAAGTCTAAAGTAGATTCATGCTAGAATACATTTTGCATAAACTCCAAGTCTATTCACTTTAAATGTCCAGGTCTACAAGACAATTTTACCAGTCACAAATTTCCAATAAGATCATATTCTTATTCTAACAGAATTGACTAATAATAAGTAGTCATCGGACAAGTACACACAGAGTCTAGGTTAATCTATACTAAAATATAGTCAACATAAACTTGAAGTCTAAAGTAGATTCATGCTAGAATACATTTTGCATAAACTCCAAGTCTATTCACTTTAAATGTCCAGGTCTACAAGACAATTTTACCAGTCACAAATTTCCAATAAGATCATATTCTTATTCTAACAGAATTGACTAAGATAATAGTCATCGAACAAGTAAAGTTTGTTCGACAAAGGACACCGAGTATATCAATGGCACGTACTTTCCATTAGGTTCATCGTAGCGAGCAGTCCCCGTATCAAACGCAGCTTCTCCCACTCCATATCAGTAAATTGGTCATGGCAGTGCCTTGTTGCTTCGTGAAACAGCTCGCCTCCAGTTCTCAGCTGTCAGCCAACGAGACAAATCTGCTCGTGAATTTTCCCCTAAATCTGTGTATCATCATGTGCGAGTCCACAACAGAAAGTCGAGTCCACCTCGACCCGCTGATCGAGAAAGTGACCGAGCGTTTCAAACAAAATGTCAGCAACGTTAGCTACGAACTCTCGATGCCCGACGATTCGTTCTTCCTGTCAAACATGTTCTTTGTGCGCATCACGATGAACGAGGAAAAGATCGACGTGGTCGTGAAGAAGCCTTCGCCGCTGGACTACGTCAGAGAAATGTTAGAATCGGACGTTCAGTTTCACAACGAGATAGTGTTCTACGAGAAATACAGCAAGGAGGACGATGAAGTGCCTCGATGTTTCTATACGGAAGAGAAGCCGCCCGTGGACTCTGTACTCGTTCTTGAAAACATCAAGTCAAGTCGAGGCTACAGTCTGAGTCATTGGAAATACGACATCCCGTTAGAGTACACGCACGCTGCGATTCGGACGCTCGCAAGGTTCCACGGAAAATGTTATGCGATGAAGGAGCACCAGCCAGACCGGTTCTTCGACATCGTCAGCAACCTCTGGCCGTCCAGGTACAGGCACGATAGCCAAATGAAAGTGATGATGAACGGCACTGCAACCAGAGCGGTGGAGTATCTTCGGCGACGAGGATACGACAAAACTTTCTGCGACCGACTCGAGGCCAAATGGGAGGACGTCTTCGGAAACGTGGTGATGGATATCGTCAGACCGGAAGAACCACTCTCGACGCTGTGCCACGGCGATTTTACGATGAACAACGTTTTCTTTAAACGGGAAAACGAACAGCTGAAGGCTATGCTCATAGACTTCGCTCTCGTGAGATATGGGTCACCCGTCATCGACCTCTCCACGTTGCTGTGCCTACACTGCGCCAGGGACCTTGACAAGAACCTGCTGGACAACGTGCTGAAGGTGTACCACGATGCCTTGATCGAGGTTTTGAAGGAACGCGGTGTTGAAGATTTAGCGAAGTACTCGTATCAGGCTTTTTATGAGGACTACAGGAAGAAGGGAATATTCGGTTTCTTTATTTCCACGTTTTTCCTGTCTATGGTGATGGGTAAGAACACTGTGTCCCCCGAAGAGATGATGCAAATGGACTACGAGAAATCGGTTTTGGTCTTGCGGGAAAGTGGCGGTGATGAGATTTCTGAGATCCTGGCGAACATGTTGCTGAAGCTGAAGGAATTTGGCTGTTTGGATGATTAACCTGTGATACGATTAATGTTACATTCGTTTAGATAAAAGTCGTAATGTATAGATTAAATTGTATCGATCTATCAGTGATCTCTTCGTTGCTCAATTTGACTTAGTTCAATCTATTAGTGATTTTATTGGAATAATGAGTGTGAAGTTGAACGAATGTGTGTTTAGATAATGCAATTTAGTTTGATAGATTTCATAAGTGACGTGTTCGATTTCTGGGACAGTTGTAACTGGATCAACCTGCGATGGTTATATGATTAAGCAAAGGACTGGGTATAAGATTTATGAGCATTATATAATGCTGGGGTCAATTTGGTATTGACTTTGATGAATTGGAGGCTTCAAAAATATTTTTGTAAAATCTTGATGGTTTATTATGGCAATTCGAGGTTCCTCGAGTGTTTATGGGTTTATGGCACAGATTGTATTTTATCACTATTTCATAGAGGATTTTGCTACCTGTATAGTATTCTGTAAATGAACGTAATGTGATGTAGTATTATATAATGTAGTATAAATAATGAATTTAATATAATATGATATGAATAATCAGTTTGATATAAAATAATATGTATGATCAAGTTTATATAAAATAGTATACATAATCAATTTAATATGAGATAATATAAAGAATCAATTTAACATAAAATAATATGCACAATCAATTTAATATGAAATAATATATATAATCAATTTAATATGACACAATATAAACAATCAATTTAGGATAAAATAATATGAAAAATCGATTTAATATGAAACAATATAAAGAATCAATTTAAGATAAAATAATATGAAAAATCAATTTAATATGAAATAATATAAACAATAAATATAACATAAAACAATATGAAAAATCAATTTAATATAAAATAATATACTCAGTCAGTTTAACGTGAAATAATACGCACAATCAATTTCATATAAGATAATGTAAACAATCAATCACTTTAACATGAAATAATAGCTTCAGCCAATTTAATATGAAATAATGCATACAATTAATTTCATATGAAATCAATCAATTTAAAAAAAATATACATGCTAAATTTAATATGATATGAATTTACATATGAATGTAAATGTTGATGAATTTAAGTTTTGATGAATGTAAGTCTTGATCTAATTATTAATTCGAAAAACTTGAAACGTAAATTCTTCTCTCGTTACAAAAAGGTAGTAGGATTTCGCAGAATTATTTTTGAGGCGTCCTATAATTATGCAAAGTTTAGATCTGATCAGTATTCCGAAGGTCACGCGATTCTCATGTTAGTTTACATTGGTAAAGTAGCATTACTCCCATAAATAACTAAAGCAAGCATGTGGTGGAATACTAAAGCAAGTCGTTTGTAGAGCCAAGGAAAATTTTACTGTGAAATAGTAATTCTCTCACTCATTTTCCTTAACCATAATCTCTACCGTCGAGCATACTGATTTTCTTCTCGGAAAGAGAACATCGAGAATTATTATGTATTATACTTTCATCACATAAAACGAATATTTATGTCGGTTCTTAAACAAAAATTGAAATTTATGTAACAGAATGTGCATAATATTTAAGTAAATTATGTAACACCGTATTTTTCTACTCTTTTAGTAAGAGAAGTTAGAGTTATGAGGTTACGTTTTCCAGTGTGAAATAAGTACTTACACGCATGAACGTAAACATTACGAATAGAATGTAACGTAGAAACCAAATCAGAGAAGAAATGTAAACATTGATACTAAATTATTGTCGTTTATAAACGCTATTGTAGTACGATGACGATGAACTAGCGTAGTATCTCCACTGTGATTATATACGGCATAAACAAGTGGGAAATGAAGCATGTATGAATGACTGAAACACTGATTAAGTATTATTGTGCAGCGCGACTATTTTTTATATGTAATTAGTTGTAATTATAGAATATTTTAATGATATGTAGTTGATTCTTATTTACCCTTCTTAGATGTACATTATCGCTATCATATACATGTTCATATGCATCATATCAGTACATATGTTATCGAGTCCACATATGTTATATCGATGTATTCTATATTTCTATGCGTTTTGAAACCGTGTGAGATCTCTAGGTTTATACAGAAATTTAGGAATTTAGATTTAGAAATTTAGGAATTTTGTGAATTTTATGAATTTTGTGAAATTATGAATTTTGTGAAATTATGAATTTTGTGAAATTATGAATTTTCAGAATTTCAGAATTTCAGAATTTCAGAATTTCAGAATTTCAGAATTTGTAATTAGAGAATTTACAGACCTATAATTGAGAAAGTTTGACTATCTAGGGATTTGGGGTTAGTGAAACTGGAATATCCAGGGATTTTGGATTTGAGGAATATGGGAATCTAGGGATTTGGGATTGGAGAAATGTGGGAATCTAGGGATTTGGGATTGTTGCAATTTGAGAATCTAAAAATTTGAAAATGGTGAAATTTTAATATCTAAGAATTTGTGTATTAAAGAGATCTAAGAATTTAAAAAATAAGCAATTCAAGAACTTAGCCATTTAGGAAACCACGAAATTCATGTACCAAAACATGTATTTCTAGTTCTATATCTGTAAATGTAAAAATTTGACAATTTGAACCCTTTAAAAAATGGAAAATATAAAAATTCCAATATCCCATCCTATTTTGCTTCCAACACTCTCCAAAATTCACCAAATTTCGATGTGAAAAAGGAATATTGGCTACGCAATTCAATATCCCGCCATTTCCAAGACTCTCCGATCCTCAGAGTATCGTTTCCGGCACCATACCGAATCTACCGTATTTTTTTATTGAAAAAGAATAATACAGACAATGTACCGGAAGTCTGGTTATAATAGAAAGTCGATCGTAACTGAAAGGTTTCGTTTTCGGAAGACACGTAGCAAACAAGCGTAACAACGCGGGTAAATGGTTGTTTGGGGAAGCGTGTACGGTTCGACGTCGCGAAAATAAAGCTCGCCGGCACGAGGCGTCGGTACGATGCGCAAAATTATTCTTTCGACTATGCAACGACGTATCTGCCTTTCAAATAGAGCCGCCACCTCTCTGCACGAGCGTGGAAAAACTTTGTCATTTCCATATATTTTCCCGGACTGGCAGCAACGTCTCTCGGGAAATTCACTTACGCTTTAACCTGAATTTTAAACCCGTTAAATTTTGCTCGCCGTCGCGTGCACGCGTTTTTCCGCCACGCGGAAGAGGAAGTAATCTTGCAGGGATGCTTTGGATGCTCCAGAGATTATAGTTCGAGCTAAATGCTAAACGATCGTCGAAAAAACCGAGTTTCTGTCACGTCGTGTAATTTATGCATGCATGTGCAAATCTCGTGAATGTTGTATGTCGGTGAATTTGGTAGTACAATGTTGGTGCTTGCGAGTTTTTGAATTTTGCGTTTATTTTGGGGATGAAGGTTTGAAATTTGGGGTTTACGGTTTGGGGATTTGGAGATTTGAGGATTTGGGAATTTGGGAATTTGGGAATTTGGGGATTTAGGGATTTGGGGTTAGAGGATTTAGGGATACAGGGAATTAGAGACACGGAGATTTAGGGATACGGGGATTTAGGGATACGGGGATTTAGGGATACGGGGATTTAGGGATACGGGGATTTAGGGATACGGGGATTTAGGGATACGGGGATTTAGGGATACGGGGATTTAGGGATACGGGGATTTAGGGATACGGGGATTTAGGGATACGGGGATTTAGGGATACGGGGATTTAGGGATACGGGGATTTAGGGATACGGGGATTTAGGGATACGGGGATTTAGGGATACGGGGATTTAGGGATACGGGGATTTAGGGATACGGGGATTTAGGGATACGGGGATTTAGGGATACGGGGATTTAGGGATACGGGGATTTAGGGATACGGGGATTTAGGGATACGGGGATTTAGGGATACGGGGATTTAGGGATTCGGGGATTTAGGGATACGGGGAGTTAGGGATACGGGGATTTAGGGATACGGGGATTTAGGGATACGGGGATTTAGAGACACGGAGATTTAGGGATACGGGAATTTAGGGATACGGGGATTTAGGGATACGGGGATTTAGGGATTCGGGGATTTAGGGTTCCGGGGATTTGGGAATACGGGGATTTAGGGATACGGGAATTTACAGATATAGAAATTTAGGTTTAGGGGATTTGGGGATTTGAGGATTCGGAGTATGGGGATTTAGGGATATTGGAATTTGAGAATTTGGGTATTTGAGACTTTGGGGTTAGGAGATTCAGGGTTAGGGGAGTTGGGATTTGAGATTAGGGGATTTAGGGTTAGGGGGTTTGGAGTTAGGGGATTTAGGAACTTGGGAATTTGGGAATTTGAGTACTTAGGGATTTGGGGATTCAGGGTCTTGGTATTTAGGAATTTAGGAACTTGAGAATATGGGAATTTGGAAATATAGGAATGTGAAAATAATGTGGAAATTTGAGAACATGAGGGTTTGGATATATGTGAATTTAAAAATGTAGGAATTAGTGAATGTGGAAATTTGAGAACGTGGGGACTTTGATATATGTGAATTTAAAAATGTGGGAATTAGTGAATATGGAAATTTGAAAAAGTGTTCGCAATCTCCAAAAACACAAAGTCATTTTTAATACATTTATTAATAGTGCATTACGCGTTTCCGTAACGGGAACCAAAGGACAACAAAGTGGATGGAAAATAGCGCGATATTTGACGTTTCATAATAATTATAGGTACGCACTCTCGACATTGATTGAACGTTCGAGAACCACTTTACGGATTTAAAATCACGAGATGTCTCGATGATTGACGTATTGCACTCAAACTGGTGAAAATCGTCCCAGTTTCGTGCCACTTCAAAAGATGCGATACAATTAAACGTCATTTTCGCCAATAATCTCTGTCTAATTTATTTAACTCGATCATTCATGCGTTTGGTAACAATGAATTGATTGTTATAGCTTGAGAGGTAATTTATTTATTAACGGATGTGATGTCGGCAAGGAAAACTTTAAGCATTTTTACTAGTTTTTTATATTTATAAATTTTAGATTCTTAGATTTCTAGAATTCTAGGTTGTTAGATTTTTAGATTTTTAGATTTTTAGATTTTTAGATTTTTAGATTTTTAGATTTTTAGATTTTCAAATTCCTAAATTCTTAAATTCCTAAATTCTAAAATTCCTAAACTCCTATCACCCCAAGTTCCTAACTTTCCAAATTCCCACACCCCAAATTATCAAATTAAAAATCTTCCAAATGTCCAAATTACCAAACCCCCGAAATTTTTAATTGTTCAAATTTCCAAACCGCTGAAATTCCTCTACCCCAAATTATCAAATTAAAAGTATTCCAAATTGAAAAATTCCTGAATCTTCAAATTTCCAAATTTGCAACCCCTACAAATAACCCCTGCACTCAATTCCCCAATTTTCCAAATTTAAAAACATCGACCCAAAAAATCCCAAATTTTGAAAAACAACAAATTAAAAAATATTTCAACTCAATGTAAAGAACTGAATAAACAGTTGTCTTCTTCTTTCACATTGTTTTTCCCGATGAAA